GTCATGGCCAGTCAGGAGATACCAGGGGACATAGAGGGTCTGGGCATGGTCAAGCCACCAGGACAGAATCCAGTAGGACTACAAGAAGGAGATCTAGTGTCAGTGAGGCCAGTGACACTGAAAGGCACTCAGGAGTCCCACAGACACACACAAGATCCCCTCATAGCCACTCAGGATCTCAACATGGAGAGTCAGGATCCATAGCTAGAGGGAGACAGGGAAGTAGTCATGGCCAGTCAGGAGATACCAGGGGATATAGTGGTTCTGGGCATGGTCAAGCCACCAGGACAGAATCCAGTAAGACTACAGGAAGGGGATCTAGTGTCAGTGAGGCCTGTGACACTGAAAGGCACTCAGGAACCTCACAGACACATGTAGGATCCCCTCATAGCCACTCTGGATCTCAACATGGAGAGTCAGGATCTATAGCTAGAGGGAGACAGGGAACTAGTCATGGCCAGTCAGGAGATACCAGGAGACATAGTGGGTCTGGGCATGGTCAAGCCACCAGGACAGAATCCAGTAAGACTGCAGGAAGGGGATCTAGTGTCAGTGAGACCAGTGACACTGAAAGGCACTCAGGAACTTCACAGACACATGCAATATCCCCTCATAGCCACTCTGGATCTCAACATGAAGAGTCAGGATCTAGAGCTAGAGGGAGACTGCGAACTACTCATGGCCAGTCAGGAGATACCAGGGGACATAATGGGTCTGGGCATGGTCAACCCACCAGGACAGAATCCAGTAAGACGTCAGGAAGGGGATCTAGTGTCAGTGAGGCCAGTGACACTGAAAGGCACTCAGGAGCTACACAGACACACACAGGATCCCCTCATAGCCACTCTGGATCTCAACATGGAGAGTCAGGATCTACAGCTAGAGGGAGACCAGGAAGTAGTCATGGCCAGTCAGGAGATACCAGGGGACATAGTGGGTCTGGGCATGGTCAAGCCACCAGGACAGAATCCAGTAGGACTACAAGAAGGGGATCTAGTGTCAGTGAGTCCAGTGACACTGAAAGGCACTCAGGAGCTACACAG